ATATTTATATTTATATTTATATTTATATTTATATATTTGTGTGTACATTTATATTTACATATGTATTTATTTATTTATATCTATATTTATATTTTTTTTAATCATTTACCCATTTTGGTTAAAATCAACGGCGAACAAAATTCTGTACATTTCGGTTTGGTATTAAGTTCATCATTAAGACTACACTGATTTTTGATTGAGAGTAATTGCAGGTATTATGTACACCATATTAAGAGAGACAGATGACTCTACTGCAGTAGGTTTCAGCGAATATGGGAAATTTTTGCCTGGAAATGGTATGCAGTTGGTAACTGTTGGAGCAAAAAATTTGCGGATACATCGGATCAATCCGTATGCGTTAATCCCTGAAGGGGAACAGTGGTCCCAGACGACTAGATTGGAATGCCTTATTAGTGTTAGGCTTGTTGCTCCTGTAAAGTCGTTTGCCATAGCGAGGATCCCTCGTAATTCTTTTCATTTTGTGTTGCCGACGTAGTCTTTTGTTCTTCGTTATCTTCTGCTTTTACTTAATTTTGATACTGATATTAATTTTCCATTTTGAAAACATTGTGGAAGCAGAAATGAGCTATTTGCAAATATACTTTCATTTTTAAAATTAGACTGCTGTTTTCTTTCTAGAAAATCCGTCGTACGATAGTATGTTATTATGTTTTGACGACGCAAAGCTATCCGTTGTTTGCGTAGATCACGCCGAGCGGAACTTGAAGACGATTTCTCTGCACTGCTTCGAAGATGATATGCTTCGTGATGGATATGTTAAGGATCTCCCGCCTCCTTTAATCAGGGTCGATCCGGGCCAAAGATGCGCTGCAATGCTTGTTTTTGGAAGGTAATTGTTGTGATGTATTATGATGTTGTGGGACATGAACCTTTACGGTCCAGAGTAGCCAGTGTCATAATGTAAAAACAAACTTTACAAGCTTTTTGTTGTTACGCCGTTCATTAATTGTCACTTAACCTCAGTCATTAGAAGAAAACTGAGGTATCTGTAAAAATTTTTGTTTCAGATATCTTGCTGTTTTACCTTTTGATGACGCTGCGCACTTACATACTTACACAATTTCTTTAACCTCTTTTGACTCTCGCCTTGTGAATATTCTTGATATAGCTTTTCTAGACGGGTACTACGAACCAACACTTGTATTTCTTTATGAACCGTCGCAGACAACTGCTGGAAGGTATTCTGGTGGTTTTTTGTAATTAAATTAATTTTGAATAAGAATTTTCAACTGAAGCTTTTAGAGCAAGTGTTCGTTACGACACCGTCTGTGTGCTTGGTGTTTCACTAAATGTCAAGGAACAAGTTCATGCAACCGTTTGGCAGTTGAGTAGCCTACCCATGGATGCTGCGCAGGTTCTGAAGAACACATCCCGTTAAAATCTTTCGGCTTTTCCTGCGGTTTATCCTTTTACATATTCCAATTCTTTTTGGTCATTGTTTACTAATCATTTTCCAGATATTACCCGTTCCTCTCCCTATTGGGGGGGCGTTGGTCTTTGGTACAAATGAAATCATTTACTTAAATCAGTCAGTTCCTCCGTGCGGTAAATTTTTTATTGTTGCTTTGAAGCAGCTTCTTATAACTCAGTAATAACGGTCCTAAAACATTGGTTTTTTTAACAGTTAAGGAAATAATTGAGAATTCAGCGGTCTCCAATCTAGAGGATGATATGCATTTTTTAATATTATATTTTCTAGTTTCATTCGTTGAAACCAATCTTTTGAACTTTTTTTAGTTTACTGCTAATATCTGTTTACAGGCATTTTCGTCAATAGTTGTTTAAATGGTTTTACAAAATTTCCTCTCAAAGATGCCAAAGATATGGCCTTAGCTTTAGACGGCTGTGTAGCCTGTGTAATTGTTTCTAATAAGGTAATTTTTGTCGTCATCTAATTTGCAAACCTTTTTTAAAACCAGGTATTTAATTAAGATCTGCAATTTTTTCTTCTGTTTGACACAGCTTTTAAATGTACTTTATGTACCAGAAGTATACCTTATTTCTTTTGTTGAAATTTTCAATTTTTTTGTTTTATTTTCAGACTTATTGCATTTTTTCACACATATTTCGGTTATTTAAAATTGCAGTTGCTATTAGTGCAGAATGTTTTTTTTCAGAACTGAAAGCATTTTAGGTAGCGTTGTGTACGAGAGATGGTTATTTGTATGTATTGTCTTTTGTGGTAGATAGCACTAATTGCGTGAAGTCTTTGGAGTTAAAAAAGTCCTTAGGTATGCTTTTCAGTTAAATTTATCAAAGTTGAATGAGACTTATGCGTTTTTTCCTACTAATGCTTTTCAGCAAAAATACTTGGAAATAATTTTTATCACAATAAATTTATGTCAAGTCTTAATCTTTAGTAGATGTCTTAGACCTTCACTTCTTACTATGGTACTAGAGCTGGTCGCTAATTCAGGAAGAAATAAACTACTACGATAACAAAGTTTAAAAAGTTTTACTTTTTTACATTATGTCATCTGCTGGCAAAGTATCTGTTTAGTTCAGCAGCCTCTAAAATGACAGACTCATAAATTACCTGGAACTAGAAAAATATGGTTTTTGGCGCTTATTAACATCTTTATTGCTCAGAGGCATTTTCTTTACATGACGCTTTTTATTTTTGATGTTCTCTGCAACGCAAAGCTGTTCGAATAATATCTTTCCAAATGTGAAAGTGTTAAGTATTTTTTTCTTTTTCTTTTTTCAGCTTGATTTCCGAAAAACTTATTAAGTAAAAGACATCCTTGCAAGAAATGAAGTGACCTTTTTGAGGAGTCGCAGTTTATTTTTAACCAATCACGATTATATTAAGAAAGGACTTGGGTTTTTTTCTGTTTAGTGCTGTTTAACGTTATAAGGGTGCTTTTTTAAAGTAAACTTCAGTGCTTGTTAAATCCACTGCGACTTCTTTTCATAGAGAAATAGCTTATATCTAGTTTACTGTGGAGAATTCTAGAGATCCCTGCACCTTATACTTTAACTTCCTGTTCATCGGGTTATTTATTTATTGGTTCTCGGCTTGGAGATTCCGTTTTTGTACAGTACACGAGCGAACAAGTCGTAGCAGACGAACCTGCTCCAAAGAATATAAAGGTTCACTTGAATACTGATCTGGAGGATGAGGACATCGAACTTTATGGAAAAGCGCTGCCTACTGTAGGTCATATTCCTTCATTCTTTACAAGCTTTGAGTTTGCTGCAGAATTTTCGCTAGTCCTTCTACTTCTTAAAATTTATTAAGGTTGCCAAAACAGAAACGACGGAAGTTTTGAAATTTCGCGTGCTCGACAGGCTGTTGAATATCGCTCCTTGCAAGAGAATGACAGCAGGTTGTCCGCATGGCCTTAGCGAGGCTTTCCAGCAGCGGCATACTTCTGATCCTATTTTTGACCTGGTGTGTTCTACTTTTACGTAGTAGTGCGAAACATATGGTTTGCGTAATGTTTTTGTGTTAAGCGCCCTCAAAGTGTTCGAAAATAATTGTTTGCTCTGATGTTAAAAGGTCAATTTTAGGTATGCGCGTGTGGACACGGTAAAGACGGTTGCATAAATATTTTTCAACGTACTATTCGCCCTGATATCATAACTAGTAGCAGGTATGTTGTGTTGCAGTATTATTATTTCTTTATTTTTTAACATGCACCTCGATTTTTGTTGAAATATTCAACATTTTGGACGGAGTTTTCTGAGTAATTGTCAACTGAATATTTTTGTGTTGAGTTTCTTCTTTATGCAAATTGCATTACATTATTTGCATCGTATCACTTAAACTATCATCAGTATGCTTATTTGGCATAATTTTGATGGCATTTTTTCATTTTAGCATTGAAGGCGTCTTACAGTGTTGGGCTGTTGGGAAACGTGAGGATGACACACATATGTATGTAATTACTTCAGAAGAAGTTAGTTTTCCTACTGTTTTAAAGTCTTCTTTTGATCTGCGTTTTATAGATTTTTTTTTAGATGGGGACGCTAGCTTTGGAAACAGAAAATGATCTCGTAGAATTAGAAACACCTTTATTTATTACTGCTGAAACTACTATTGCTGCTGGAGAACTTGCTGAAGGAGCGCTTAGCATACAAGTGTTTTTTAGATCATATAAGAATCTTGTTTTTTGAATTATTAAGGTGCTGGTAAATTGCTGCTTTCAGGTGACTACATCAAGTATTGTCGTTGTTGCTGAGGGTCAGCAGATTCAACACATTCATCTCCAGTATACTTTTCCAGTTGCAGGCGCTTCTATAGTTGATCCATTTATTGCAATATGCACTCAGAATGGTAGAATCTTTTTGTTTGAACTAACCAATCGTCCTCATATTCATATAAGGGTTAGTGTTCCTTTTCCATTCCCTTTTTAGAGTTTAATTTCGGATTTTCCGTAGTGTCTTCTGTTACATTTTGTGCATTTTATAAACTTCTGACTTTTTCTGGGAATAGTCAAATTATCGGTCCTAATCTTACGTTCCAGAAGGAATGCTTTGCCACATTTTTTGTTCCTGAACATCATCTCATTATTTCTTTGATTCAGCAGTAACATTCTTGAAATAGTGTAACTCGTTTGACCTCTTTTTTTTTTTTTGTATAATTTGTATTGACAAGAGTTTATTTTATCAACATGAAAAGACTGCTTATTTATTTACTTCTTTTGATACGAACGGCCGTTTCAACGGAAAGGGAATTAACGCTTTTTTAAAGTTTGCTTTAAAATTTTGAAGTGGTCTCATTTTAGGAAGTATATTTATTAGGACTTCTCTAGTCAGAATTATACCTTCCAAATAACAGTGTGGATCCTTCTTAAAATTTTAAACAGAGTAGATTCAGTTATTTGTTTTCAATACAAAAGAGCTTACCCTAGAGAGTAATTTAGTTGTTGAGACACGCGTAGTCAATTTTTAAGATTTTCCAAGCTCTTGCTTATCTAGAGCTGATGTAATACATCGTAGTCTTGTTTTTTTTTTTTTTTAAATAGCTAATTAGAACTGGTCTTTTAAGGAGGTTGCTGAATCTGCTGATGAATAGTGTGCTAGTTATATAACTTTTATAAAAACATCTGAGGTATGTAAGAAGCAGATTTATGAAAACTGCAGATATGATGATCATTTAGCTCTTGCAAGGCTTCTTTTTTTATTATAAAAGTCTCTGGGGCGTTGAAGTTTGGGTCCATAAATCAAATGATTCATAGTATTTTGAAAAGGGCAAAAAAACTGCACTTTCCTTCTACTTTAGTACGGTTTCAATCCTCAACCTCGCGCTTCCTGTGAGAAATTCTCAGCTTTATAATAATAAATAATTTATTGATTCAATCTATACTACTTTTTTTTATCGCTACGTCACTATGGGATCTCCTGTTTAGCAGATATTCGGATTTTGTATTATTTGACAACCTTAATTCCTATCGTATTTTTGCTGGGATACATGGCTGGAGTATTGAAGGTCGGGGGAGGCTGTGGTCTACAGTTGATTTTTCCTGGATGATGTTTTTCAAGGCATGATAACTAATGGGTTTTGAAGAGATGAATCTCGTCAATTTGGTTGTCGTTTTTAGTCACCTCTTCTCAGTTGAAGTTTAGTTGTTTTTCTGCTGAAGCGGTTTCGCAGTGTAATGGCCGTCAAGGTTTTCCGAATCACGTATTGGGTGTAAACTCTAGTAGAATAGTGTTTTTTTGCAATTTTCTAGGGTAAGAAAGGAAGTGTTGGTGTTAAAACGGTCCTAAAGATGGACTGCCGTTTCAGATTTTGACGATCATATTCAATACAGATACTGTTGAAGAAGTTTTCACGTTTTTCTATTGAGAAGAATGTATGAATAAGTTGGGACTTGTACAAGGGAAAGATGAGGATGTAGCTGCTTTGTTGCATAAAATTTAAATATTTATTCTGCTACTGTTGTAGTAATGGAACATTTATAAACGAAGGTACTGTGAACTGTGTTAATGAATGGTTGAACAACGCTGCATTTGAGGGACGCCTAATAAGTGTGGGCTGAAGAGTTGGGAACATGGTAAAGTACAGTAGTGGTGAGCTTTTTCTATAGCAATTCTGAATCAGTGCAATACATATATTTTGTAAAACCAGCTTCAGAAATCATTTTCTTTTTAAGGCAAGTGGTTCTCTTAGGAATTTCCTTGCACGGTCGTGGTCATTGTGCGTTTCAGTTTTTTTGTATGAAGTTTGGAGAATTGGCACATTTTTCTGAATCAGCAGGTTATCGGCTTTTGTGTGAGACCAAGTTCTTCTATTTTTTCGCTTAGTTAACGAGATTACAAACTCTTCGATGGGCTACAACTGAACAAAACCGTGTGGAGTTTTGAAGCATGACAAGGAATTTGCTCTTTAACAAGGCTTTGCTCTCTGAGTCTTACAGCATTATTTGCTGTTTCTTTACATTTGAAGGGGATCCGGATTGTTTGTCTAGAGGGCACTAATTCAAGTGTTGGATGGTTTAAAAACTGTACTGTGACTAGAAATTGTTTTTTTTTTTTTTTTGTTGGAAGGGAGTCATGTCCTTTAAGGTGCATTTCATGTGTTAAGCCTTCTTGATTTTTCAGTACAACTATGAGCAGCTATTGGTAATTAGAGAAAACAATATAATGTGTAAATTTTTTTTGAAACTGTGCTTTGACATAAGGCAAAGTTTAGGTTTTTTATTTATTTTATATGCTTTGAGATTTTTTATGAATTGCAGGAAATTGAAGTGTCTAGTGAATTATATCACAGCTCTTCTCCAGTAACAGCTTTGTCGCTTTATCGGGATATGAGTGGTATTCTTCATTTTTGCTCAGCGTCATCATCTACAGTTCAAACTAGTGTCAGCACGCGCTTTGATAAACAGCAAGATTTCGATGATTTTGATGACTTGTTGCTGTATGGCGATTCGCAGAAGAGGCGTAGGGATCTATACTTAAATTGTTTATCTCTGCTTTGTCTTTTTGGATGAAATAGAGCATTCTTTTTACGTATCGAGTAGTTTTGCAGAAAGGGATTCAAAAAAACGACGAAAATTAATTGGTAACCGACAAAAGTTATGCGAAAATCCTCATCTTGAGACAGATGTGATTGATCCAAATACAATAGTTCCATCGCACTGGCTTATTGTAAGCCTTCATTTTTTTTTGCTGATTAGTCTGCGGATGCTGTGTTCTTATTAATATTTTGTTCTTTAAACACCTTTTCAGTTGGCTCGCGAAAATGGAAACTTATATATTTATTCGCTTCCAGAACTTCATCTTGTATATATGGTTAAAAAACTTAGCCAGTTGCCAGAGTTGGCAGTTGATTATACTGGGGAGGAGATTGCAGCTATGGATACACCTGATTTAGGATCCGATATGAGCGCTGATGCACTTGCAGTAAAACCAGAGGAAATTATAGTGGAGATGGTAGGTTGACTGCTCTGTTTCGCAAGAGTGTTTCGTTGAAAATAGCTTTCACTGGTTGTGGATTTTCACCTGCAGTTTTTCTTACGTTTCTTAGAAACCAGTTATTTGGTATATTTCATGAATCATTATTTTCTTTAGCTTATGGCTGGTATGGGAATGAATCAGGGCAGACCATTCTTATTTATTCTTATTGATGATACTGTCTGTATTTACGAAATGTTTGAATATGATAATGGCGTTTTGGAACACTTGGCGATTAGGTCTGTTTCAAAGTTTTTTTACTGGTTCCGATTATGCCTTTTAGAGGCGCTGCTAGAACGATATTTTGAATTCGGTTTTTTTAGGTTTAAACGAGTACCCTACTCATGTATCACACGGCATTTGCGATTTCAAGGCACAGATGGCAGAGCAGAAGTTGAGATGGCGAGGGACACCGTTCGATTGAGGACTGTTTTTCATCCTTTTGAGAGGGTTGGGAATATTGTGAGTTTTCTTTTTATTTCTTCTGTTTTATCGTTCTTTAAGTAAGTAACAGATTTTATAAGTTAGTTCTTTTTTTAGGATAGTATAAAAGCGATGCAATAGATATTTTGTTGGCTTTTAAATTTTTTCATCCAATTGGAAAAAGACAATAAGTATATCTAAAATTTTATAGCTAAACGGAGTCTTTATATGTTCTGCATTCTCCTACCTCTTTTTCGTCGACAGCGGAATACCTCGATTACATCCTTTAAGCATTGATGGTCCTCTGCTATCGTTTACGGCCTTCAATAATGCAGTCTGTCCTAACGGTTTCATATATCTAACGGAAGAAGGCAAAATCATGAGGATTGCGAAACTTTCAGTATGGTTTATATACGAGTTTTCCAAATTCATATTAAGATGTCTTATAAGTTTTTACAAATTTCTGTTGTGAACTTCAGGAAAGCACAACTTCTTTCATGCATAACATTGTAATATGAACTAAAGCAGCATCACTATGGAAACGTTTCTACTGACCCGAAATTAGCGATGAGTTTTCATAAGTAATAATATCGACAGATTCATAGTTCGGGAAAAAGCTGTAGGCTTTTTGAATGTCTTTAGTTGAAGAAATTGTATCACAAGTGAACATTAGAAATACTTGAAAATGTGATAGCCTCTCGAAGGAAAGTTTAGGAAATGAGGCGAATGAACTGAACATTATTATTTGAGCTCTTCTGACTTTTTTTATGAGACAAGAAAAGCTGTTTGACGTTCTCGCTGTTCATCATTCTCGCTCGCACCTTTAGAAGCAATTCGTTCACTTTAATTATTTCCGAGTGACGTTACTCGCTTTTATATGCCAAAGGAGCAAGGGGGAAATGCTGGTAATAACTAGTACTGCCAACGAAATATTGAGCGTGATCATCTGTTAAAGAAGATCCAGCTTTATTTTTTCAACAGTTACTTGAATAGCGTCTAGCTACTCTTGAAGCGTTTAATTCTTGTACACCTTTTCCAACATTTTATATTATTTCGAAAGTGCATTTTGTTTGGATTTCCTTTAAATTTGCTCAGACCGTAAACTCTATTTTAATTTGTGGAAAACTGAAGGAAACTTGAGAAATCAGCTAAAAGAATTATGCAGTCTGATGCGTAGTAGACTACTGATAACGTATTAGCAGGATTTTTTATTTTTCAAATGTTTACAAAAGGCTTAGAAATACACTTTGAGTTTTGTGATCCTACTTTACAAAGGGAGGTTGGTCGGATTTTGCAAGACTTTGGTTGTTAGAAAATAAATAAATGTTAAAAGCCATTTTTACATTGAGAGGAGGAAACATGGGACTCGGTCCCTTGACTAATTCCGTCACTAGCGGTTTCTTTACATTTGTTTTCTTTGGTTGGTGAATGGAGTGGGTTTTTTGGTGAGAGTGTTTTGCGATGAGAAGAAGCTGTTTGGCCTAAGCAACCAGGTGTCACAGACGCAGAATGCAGGATGATCGCGGAACATTTGATGAAGAAACCAAACGTTCCTGGATATTTCTTTACATTGTTGTGGGATTATAATAGCAGTCAACGGTTGGAAAGCGGTGAACAGCGATGTTCCTAAGGTGAACAACATTTTTACAGAACAGAGTTTACGACGTCTTGCCAAGTTTTAGTTGAGAATCCTATGTTGGCAAATGGTGGACGTTTTCAGTGACGAGGGGCTATTTATGCTACTCTTACTATTGCATTTCGTACAGCGGGGAGACGTTTCAATGAATTTTTTTCGATGGAGGTAGGTAGAAAAAAATCCTTTAATTTGTGGCACTTGGGAGACATAAAATTTGGGATAAAAGGGATACTTGGGATACTACGAAACTGACTGGGAGAATTAAGGGAATTTGATGCGTACAGTTAGTGTAAATTCAGTAGAATCATTTTTCGACCACTTAGATGTATAGTAATTTTGTTTGAGATATATCTCTTGAATAAATTTTACCGTGTGGTGGCTTTGGAGGTCAAGGTTGTAGAGTTTTATAAAGTTTGAAAACCGATTTGTGTTCCCTTATTTTTACTTGTTTAGTCTGTCTTATTCTGTAGGGCTCTTTGAAGCAGTATAAAAAGAAGTCGTTATGGAAGATAATCACGGCGACTTTTTTAGTGGTGAGGTTGTAATGGGGGAAGTATCGTCAATGTTGTTCCGTAAAGATGAGTCTACAAAAGGAATGCAAGGAGGATGTAAGAATTCTACGGGGAAAATGCCTTATTGAATATTCCAAGTGAAAATTTGAACGGTTATATCTCGCTGAAGGTGGTAACCAGTTGGAAGAGAGGCGGTTAAAGAGAGGAACAGATGACCGCTACTTTAGAAATCGTTAAGACGAGTTCCTTTGGAAGCTCCCCACAAAATTAAATTCTTTTATCGAAATCTTATCAGTTATTTGAGAGGTTACTTATATTTAGTGGTTTCGTAACTCCTCTTTTTGTAGTGTACAAGAGCGTTTGTAGTGCGAATTATGTTTCTTGGTAATTGTTTGATTGGGTCCTGATAATTCCTGCGTTTTCGTTTTTAGTTTCTTACTCATTGCTCTGAGGTATGTTACTGAAATGAATGTTTGCTGCAGTTCTCTTCCCGCCAAACCTGCGAATAATTTCATGTAGTTTCTGCTTGAGTGCACTATTTTTAAGCATAATTTTTATTGGTATTGACCTGCTACGGCATAACTAATGTCTTTCATAGAGCACAACGGCTGCATTTAGTGATTTATTGAATATGTTGCACTGCTGTGCTATTTGGTTATTAAGGAAACTCATCGCAGCAGTTGAGTTGTCCATCCCAAGCTGTCTTCGGTTTATACAAAGAACAGTATGTCATTTTAAGGACGAATTTGAGTTAGATTCTTCGTATCCTGTTCGCAAAATCAAGATTGGTTGTACTGTCAATAGTGTCCTCTACCTTTTGCAATCGAATACTTATGTTGTTGTGAAAAGCGAAAAGAAAAACAATGCGAAGCTGTGTGTTCTGATAAATGAAGACAAATCTTTTGAGGAACATGAAAGGCCGGAGTCGTTTGTCTTTCCAAAGCTGGATATCTACACAGTATCGGTGAGTTTGAGTTAACCACATTAATTTTTAGTGGAGTTCCACTACGTCAGTGCAAATCCCCGCTGACTTCACTTTAATTTTCTTTTTAAAACTTATGTTTTTAGTTATACTCTCCGGAAGATTGGAAACCCATACCAAACACTGAAATAAGTTTTGAAGACTTCGAGGTCGTTACTTGCTGTGAAGAGGTTCTCTTGAAATCTGAAAGTACTGTTGCGGGTGTTCAGAATTACTTAGCGATTGGAACGGCTTGCAATTATGGAGAAGAAGTTTTAGTCAGGGGCCGCATTATTATTTCAGAGATAATTGAAGTGAGTTAAGGTTTTATTGTTAAATTCTGTGCCTTTTGGCCAAATTATTAGCTGTAATAATTCAGTCGGGATGGATCTTTTAAAAGCCACTTCTTGCTTTTATGCTACTTCTAAGATCTTTATTTTAGGTAGTTCCAGAACCGGGTCAACCAACAAGCAAGCATCGCATTAAAACTCTGTATGACAAAGAACAGAAAGGTCCGATAACTAGTATGTGCGCATTGAATGGTTACTTATTAACTGGAATGGGACAAAAAGTTTGTTTATTCGTATCTGTTAGATTCTTAGGACTTTTTCGTTCACATTTTTCTTTCTTTATTTTTGTTTAGATATTTATATGGTTGTTTCGTGATAACAACCTTCAAGGAATATCTTTTCTTGATCTCCACTTCTACATCCATAGTTTAGTGTCGATTAGGAATTTAGCTCTTGCATGTGATTTGTATCGTTCGGTCTCACTGATACGGTATCAGGTATGGGTTTTTCGTCTGTTCTTGCGGTTTTGCCTAATTTTCAGAAAATTCTTTTTATTGAGGAAATATTGGTGTAGTTAGTAATAATTTTTAGGAGGAGTATAAAGCATTATCTTTAGCCAGTAGGGATATGAGGCCTACCGTCCCATCCCCAATGGCCGCTCAGTTCTTGATTGATAATCGACAGATGGGGTTCCTCATGACAGATGAAGCTTGCAACTTCTCTGTTTTCAATTACCTTCCTGAAACGGTAGAATCATTCGGGGGGGAAAAGCTCACATTAAGGGCAGACATTAATATCGGCACTGCAGTTAATGCCCTTGTTCGAGTTAAAGGTAAGTAAATGGCTTTGTGCGTCACTGTCAAAACCAAATGATCTGGCAGTTGACAGTAGTCTCTTTTAGGACATGTGTCCAATGGGTTTGTGGAGAACAAAGAGTTCTCAGCTGCTCGGCAGAGCGTTATTTTTGCCTCCTTAGATGGTAGTTTCGGATTCGTGCGGCCGTTATCAGAAAAAGTAAATCTTTAATTAAAATGTATTCTTTGTAACAGGCACCATTTTTAATTGAATTAATTTTAGGTTTTTCGTCATTTACATATACTCCAGCAGTTAATGTCTTCTATGCTTCCGCAGCCTGCTGGTCTCAATGCGAAAGGTTCACGAGCTGCACGTCCGCATCAACCGAATCATACCGTTGTAAGTTGTTCGGAACTATTATTTTTTCCTAGCATTTAGGAAGTCTTTTCTATATTGCCAAAAAAGTTTTGGAAGAGGCGTCACCATTATTAGTGACATTATTTTCTTGTGAATGCTTTATCGTATAAAACGGTGGCAATAAAACAGCACCATTTGGGTACTTAAGTGAAGAAAGATTGAAATTTTGTCACTTAACAATTTAGACTTAAACTGGGAGGTGAGAAATGCGTTAGAGATTGTTTCTGATGGTTTTTTTTGTGTCAAGATTCCTTCATCCTCTTAGCGATCAGTGCTCACCAGAAACTTGTGATCGCCGAAGTCGACAATAGAAATAATAGCTTCGTTCAGATGAAACTGTATAAATATCAGAAAAAAGTGAATTTTTTTTACTTATAAAAATCTTTCAAAATTAAGCAGGATATTTCTTACACTTTGTTGCGGATGCTGGGAGCTGGGAAAACTGTTACGCCTGCTTTCAACGTCTGGTAAAGCTAGAACGCGTGGAAACGGATAGATTAAGAAGCGGAAGATAGTTCCTTTAATATTTTTGCAAATTTTTTTTGGATTATAGAGAATGTGTAATGACTACCTAGCCCTCCATCAGGAATGTTTGAGAATTAACCTGCTAACGGAATGAGTGAAGATGCGCAACGACTCCCATCCAGTGGACATTTCTTGAAATATTTTAGAATTATGTCTTCGTAAGAGAGCCACTTCCTCTTCCAGGTAAATATGGGTTCTCTCAAATTCGCTCGTTTGGGATCATCAAGTGGATTTGTACGTCCTGAAAAACTGTAAATGGGACAAGTTTCTTCCATTGTAATTTACACGCTCACTCTTCATTCGGGGCTTTTGTTCTCATCGCCACTTCCGGCATATGAGAATTTTTGACGACCATTTTATTCTTCAGAAGATTTAAGTACTTCGAAAAGTATCCCCTTTTGGACTCAACCTTTAACACTTTCCTGTACTTCTTGATTTAGTCTACATCGTTAAATGCGATTAGCGTCTCAAGCTTTTTTCTTTCTTGAACACTCGAATAGTGCTCATTTTTGCCGCCGTCGTGTAAAACTCATCTACTTTTTTTATTCTTACAGAATACACGTAACATTGTTGATGGTGATTTCGTATTCCAGTATTTATATCTGCCATCACACGAGAAAAATGAGCTAGCTCGAAAATTGGGTATGAGCAGATATCACATAATGGATGATCTCATTGAAATTTCACGCTTAACTTCGCTTTTTTAAAATCAATTTCCAGTTGTTGCAATATACTTCTAACGTTCAGATTTTTTACTCTGGCACTGATGGAAAATTCTTTTTTTTTTTACAATCGTTATATTGTTTTGACTCATATTGTTTATACTGCCGTATAGTCATAATTATAAAGTAGTCTTTTTGCTAAGATTATGGGTCTTTTTTTTTGTCAAACACGCCTGTGTTCAAAGCACAATCAAGTGCCCCGCATACCTGATGGCAGGTAAAGTTATTTCAGAAAAAACCGTTTTACCACTTGAGTATGGAATTTCTTATTGAAGTTTAGCTAGAAAGACTACTCAATTTAGAAAGTGTGAAGTGAATTGGTGCAGGGTTGTAAAATCGGTTGTACCTGCTAGGCCGATACTTAATTTTTGGATAACTGATAAAGCTGGTAAAATACAGTCATGTTGAAGAAGCAGTAAGGACACAGAACGCACACTGTAAAGAATTACACCACAGCACAGTGAAAACAGTTGTGAGCGACATAAAATGTATTGGTATGTGGCGTGATGACTGAGATGAGGGATGGTGGTTCTGCTGCTGTCGAGTTGGTTTCTACATACTCAAAACCGTGCATTAAAAACACTTGTTCTTCACCTCGTTCTTTTAGTTTAGAAAAGAAAGTCTGCTAACATCAATATTGTGAAGGGAATCAAAAAGTAAGAGGAAGAACTATTGGACATCCTGGATTTGTGAAACTAAGACTGCTTTCATATTTGCTTAAGGAAGATTTAAAAAAATTGGTTTCCGAAAGTTCCTCAATTTAGCAGGATGTGGGGAAAATAAATGCACAGAACTACACTGCAAGGTACTTGGATCAGAAACCGAAAGTGAAGGTACGAGAAATTGCTAGATTACCACTTCGCCTTAGCGCCTTTCACAAAGTAGCAGCCCTACGCAGCTTTGCAGGACTACCGCCTACCGCATTTTTAGTGCTATCTTCTCTATAAAGCAATTTTTTTTTTGTTTTGCCACCATAAACTTCACTGTTTCCCGTCGTGTATATTTCTACTAAAACAGCAGCCAATTACTCAGCACAGTGGAGCAATCAATGTGTAAATTTACTTAGAACTTGTCATTCTTCTCTTCTTCGTTCACCAAACCAAGTAACTTCTAGAAAATTACTTCTACCCAAAGAGCCATTAAGCTGCATGTATTACCCAAACCTGTTTGGCATCCTACGGGAATAAAGCATGAAGAAGAAGATTAAATTGTTAAGAAACTGGTTTAACTCTTTTCTTGCACATTTCCTGCTTCGACTTCGCTTTTGTGGCCATCAAAACTTATGCTTGCGAAGAGTCGGTCCGGCGAAGTACTTGAGTCACGTCATGATAAGCCCAATTGCCAGACGTTTACGAAAACTGTGTTCTTCAAAACAAGGAAACACGCCTGTTAAGCATAACCAGACGCTTTCAGAAGGAAGGACTAAAGTACAAATCGGATCCGCAGTGACCGAATAATAGCTATACAGTTTTTGCAACGAGAAGATAAAGAAATGCATGAGCTGCTAATTCTATTTCCCCTTGCAAGTGCTACTAAGTGAAAGGCAATTTTTAAACTGCTGCTGTTCGGTAGGCTTCGGCTAAGTACCTATACGTCATCAAAGCAGTGTTTCACTTCATGGTGCAGCCAACGTTGATTGAGAAATTTTTTTT